AAACCACCTCACCTTGATCCACGGTGAAGAGGTAGCAATGTCGATTACACGATGGCATTGGTTTCGGTAACCAAGAAGTGACATTGTTGTCCACTCCGCAGATGAGCTCGGTCAGTGCTGCAGAGGGAGTCGTGTCAGCAGCACATCTGTTGAGAATGCAGTGGACTGGAATAGTCAAGTATCCTACGAACAAGATTTATAATCAATTCAACAGTTGCTACGAATGACGCATGTGCATAATCGAGGCTATGGTATTATTTGTCTATTTTCAGATAACTTCCTGCAATGTGAATTGTAGAATCTCGTGATAACTGTGCAAATAAGACACTTCTTGTGTGCAAACATTGTGAAATAATGTAGTATCTCTGGTTTAACATAGGTGTTCAAACCATTCAGTGTATAGTTGGACTGATCGCTAGCAATGAAATTATCATCTGTTAAAATCACACAACGTTGCAGGAATGAAACGGTAAACTGCTTGACATGGGCATGTCTGGCTGAAACTATGTTGCTTTGAAGGGAACACAAACAAACCATTTAGTTTAACCTGAATATCAAACCCCCTCTTTATCAATTTTCATGGGGTTTAGTGTGCATATAACTGCTATACTGAAGTCATTACGAACAGACTCAACTACACCTGTCTGAGAGCACGTATCGGCAGTTTGCTTTGTCCCTTCAAGGAAGCGTCTGTGGTGGACGCTCTCATGGCCCTCAGAATGGATCAACAGCATTAACTTATTTTCAGACAGATATGAAAATAAATCAAATAAGATACGGGGATGCACTCAAAACGCTAAGTATCAAAATACGTAACAGATTGAAAAGCGTGATGATTCCGATAGGACAGCTTTCACTTAAGTAATCGTCAGCATACGAAGATTAGTCGTTCACTGAGTTTAATCGCTCAATTATTCTTCTCGACCGCTGTTTTCTTTTACTCAACCTTAACAGCTTTTTTGAGGAATGAAGGCTGCATACCTTAACAAAATCATTCAGCTATTGTCCTTGTGGTCAAAATGACCAAGGTTTACTTCAATGTGCATCGCAATCCAACCACACAACGAGTACATCAGAATGACCGTTCACTCAGTTAGTAATCCTTATGCCAAGCGTTGCCTGGTGTGACCTGGTGACTAAAGCAGTAGAGGTCCAAACTAACATCCCAATGGTCCCGGATTAGAGGCCTGCTGTATCCGTTTGATGAGATCAAGCAACCTCAGAACGCGTAGTGGACTGCAGTGTTTTCGAGTGGCGTCACTCAATTTCCGTAAGCTTTTGGAAGTTCGATTTCGAATAGATGTATACTTTGTTATATTTTTTAGGTTTTTAAACGGTCATACACTGACTGAGATGGTTCCTCTGGCCATGTGCATAGATCCACAAAGTACACAGTGATACACATTCATGGTTTTTATTAGTTTAGGTCATGAGCGAGAGATACATTTGATCAGTCACGCATTACTTAGTGTATCTTTTGAAATTGCTAGCGGCAGTCGGCAAACTAATGCGTCGGGAATGTTCGACAAGGAGTTTAGTTTTTAGGTAATCTAGATAGTAGATAGCAACATCGCCACCGCAAGATGAACGATCATTCAGAATGACCGACATTTCACTGAGTTAAATCCCAAGGCACAGTATGTGGTTTGAACGCCAACGTTCAGATATTGCTGTGATGTCCCAACTTTTATTTCAAATAAATGGCGCAATTCCCAAAGCTTATAATACAATCCTTGAGTGTTGCTACAACACCACTGTAATAGTTGGATAGTTACTAGCTCTGCTCACTGTGTATGACCGGCACAAATAGTACCCGTCTGTATAGGCATTTTGGAACGGGTGTTTGTATGGTTGGCTGAGCTGAGATAGGAACAACCGAGACTAGCTCATCTGTATGTAGGATCTGTACTGCTTATAGGAATGGTCGTGACCGTACTTCTGGTGGCACATGTTTCTTGCTGTCCTGCTACCCTTGTAGGTCTATTTATACCATTTGGTCGTAGCCAAAGTAACCTTCGAAATCTGTGACCCGCTACCGTGGTAGTTTGGGGAGGCAACTAAACGTGTGAAACCAAAAGCTACGACATATTGCATGCTAGAAAGCTCTGTGTTGTAACTTCCTTTTTCAACGTCGTGCTTTTGTTGCACACTCTTATCGTGGTGGTGTAATTCGGGCACACCATGAACCAGTACCACTTTCTTCATCACATTTTGGCGTGAAGGACTCAGGTAGGATTTCCGATTCTGTATTTCTGCCCATAGATTGTCCGGAAAACTGCAGGCCCTGACAGAAGAGTTGGCCAGAATACGGCCTGCTAAGAAAATCTCTTCCATGTCAAGTGAGTTGTTAAATGTTACTCGTAACAACCGAGGTTCTCTTACATTTGGGGATGATGGATTTCGCGGAAGGCGGTACGTATAGTTGGGAGAACTTTCAGTTCGAGAGCGCAGGTTCTCTCAGACCACCGGGTTCACTCCCCTGCTTGTCTACAATTCAACGATACGCTGGTGGGTTGTGAGACCTTTGAACACATCACTCTCAAGGGGTTTTGGTTGATTAGTTACTGCTTGTTATGCGGTTCCTCGGGAGCCGGGATTCGTTGTGTTGGAGTGTGGTAGAGGCCAAGGCTACAATGCGACTGTTTATCTGCAAAGCTGTTCGTCATACTGTCTTTAGGAGTTACTTGTTATCGCCCAGCTAATAACGGATGTGATCGCATAGTTCGTGCCTAACTGCATGCCTTGCAGTATTTTGTATGACTTGGGAGACGGCTCAACCGGCCTGTTGTCACTGACATTTTTCAAGAATGATGTTCGTTTTCTCTGGATTGTTCTGCAATTTTGCTGCAGAGTATTTGTCTTTCAATAGGTCTGGGATTGGGGCAACGTATTACACTGATCTGCAACTCAAGTTCAGATATTTTCCCTCCTAAGACCGCATATGGTTTCTCTTAATTCGCGGGCGTACCTGCTAATGTTTAACACCTCATCGTAAGCGTTTGAACAACCATAATTTTCTAGACTTAAAACACAAAACCACAAACTATATGTCGGTACGCTTGTCTTTCCTTTACGTTTTAACTTCACGTTTGTAGCGTCGTAGGAAGTGGCACAGAACAAGCACGTGCGTGTTGTGAGAACCTTAGTTACCCGCTTTTCTGTGATTTGATTTAGCTTCGGTTGGTTATTCACTAGCTTTCAGGCTGACAAACTTCTCTGACCCATGTTTCCATGGACCGTAAGCACTTTCAGGCCAGGCTGGTCACGTCGTTTGGGCTGCCTGTTGTGTGCCCTGGTCAAGGGGAAATCTCGTTGCGTCACCGGGTTTGATAGTGAAGCGCCCTCAAAGCATGAGTGGACAAAATTCCTGTACAAATTCGGTGGTAAATGTGAGAGGACAAAATAGCCTGTAGCTACGGTGCACATTGGTGCACAGTAACAAATGGCCTTAAAGCATTTCTGTCAAATGGTATTTCAAAGGTACTGATAGAACTCAAGAAAGCCACGTTTCACGTGTCGGTCTTGGCGAATGAACTGTCTAAGAACTCGTTTGTGGTGTACAAGCGAGTCATTGGACTTACTTCGAAAAGATAGATCCTGTTGGATAGAGCTCGGTGGTCTGAATCAATAGAGCGTGCTTTCGGACTTGTAGTAGACACATGAACTGGTAAATCAACATTCATACACAGCACAAAACTATTCTACAAGCAAGCGATGGTTAGACCTTACGAAATCACCACATGTTCCCTAGGGCACTTACTGGTCAAGGAAGCGGTAATCATGTATCCTATAGTATGCTGAAAATGAGTCAATTACATTCTCGTAAACACACCAGAGGCGACTGTAATTCAGTCATACAGAAGTACTGAGAGGCTTGTTGAACAGCTTTTCCTGGGTCTGCACCTTAATGTGATCTTTTCATACAAATTACGTATTTTGCTGTTTAAACTATGAACAAATACTGTTTTATCGTAGCACGTGAATATTTATGAACAAACAAACAGATTAAACTTGGTATTGTTTAAGCTTTATGTGCTTGTCTCAATGAAAACCCGAAAGCGTTTGCAGATTTGTAATAAAATGAACGGTTCTTTAACTTGTAGACGCAAATTAATTGTATTCCATAAACAGTACCGTTTTATACATAGAATGGCTGATCCTGTCATTGGCATCGCTGAGGGACCGTTCGGCCATCTTAGCCACTTACTCAAATCTGGCTTTACTTCCGTAGTTTGTAGTGTGAAACGAAACATTTCCGTTTGTGACGAGTGGTGGTGGCCCGCAGTCACGTTCTGAAGAGAAAACACAAAACTACTCAATATGTAGCAAATAACAAGTTTCCTTAAAACGTTGTGATCCCTTTTCATTGGTTACATTTGGAAGGCGTTATAGGCAATCGTTTTAGGCAGAAATTCGTCACATCTAGACGCACTCAGACGGCCTCCAAACGCCCGGAAAAGCACTGTACGCGCGTTTCATCCTTTCGGGAATCATCAGCAGTGCGCATTCCATCGGACCCTTGGTAGGGCTCGAAACCGCAACTCGACTGTTGCCAGTGCGTGGTTGAGACCACTGAGCTACGGGGGATGGCAACGACCATCGTGAATAAGTCACTAGATGTGGTATAGAGCCGCTCACCATCCACTGGCTTACACGTTACTGCCGTGCAGAGGACAGGGTAACCCCCTCACCAAGCTACGAGCTTACCAAACTTAAGCCGCCAATTAACTTATGGTATTATAAGCAGTTTGGTCTGCGTACTGATTGCAGAGGAGTAGTAGGGGGAGTTGAATTGTGTAGGTAGAAATTCGTCACATCTAGACTCGTTTTAGTTTAAATATTTTGCGCCTGTTTGTATGGTTGAGAAGGCATATTGCGCGTGCCCACTGCGAAAAAGGGGTATTATTGTTTTTATATTTCATAATTGTAGCTGGTGTCAGTTATGCCGTAAACACAATGCTTGTGGATGGATTGAATTTTCTCAGATTATCTAATTGGAAATATCTAGAAGCGAAGGAGAGTCATGCAAATATTCGAACTTGCAAACCAACTTGCAAATGGACTGCAGACCGCATCTAATGTCAAAGCTGATTAGCCCGGCTGTGGGCTGGTGAATGAAATTAATTAAATTGTTCCTCTTGAGTTTATAGGGGAAGATAGTTATTGCTATGAAACTTGCCTTTACATCTCGGTTTCTCGCCATCCCATTTTCCGTTCGTTTGGCACTGTCTCTTCGCCGAACCAGTTAACTCATAGCCTTGATTGCAGTGGATGTGCACAACACCATTCACTTCCGTGGAGTATGCGGAGAGTACCCCGTTCTCTGGTGGATCCAGTGTAGGACAGGTTACGGCTAAACAATGAGATAAACACATAGATAAGTAGGTGGCAACGACTTGTAGGATACAAAACTTTACAAACGGCTCTGTCTTTTCACCATTTGCGGATGGTGTTGTGAAAATGACTCTTAATTTAGACAAGGAAGCACAGGTTTCATAAAGATGCACCCGTTGTTGTTCACAATATCACACAAGCATTGTAAGACAATGCATGAGAACTGGCCCCTACACGACATGCTTGACCCACTGATACAATCCGATGCGTTAAACCATGAACCAGACGATTAGACAACGTGTGAATCTGTCAGTGGTATGCATTGGAAAGCAAAAGCAATTTTGACAAACTAAATAAAACTATCCTTAATAAAGTGTTCGCATATTTGCTCAAAAATTGTTAGTTAACCTATAGGTGTAAGTGTACAGTAAATTTAACAATCAGTCCGAGGTGGACAAATGCCATCCATCAAAATTATCATGAAGTACAACATTTCATAATAATAATTATAAATCCACTCATATATTATTGTACACCCGTTGAATACGCGGTCACCGCGCAGCTCAGCAGGAAGTTTGTGTGTGTCCAAATACTTTCAGATTCTCCGTGTATGCAAAAATTTGCGATATAACTGGCAATAAAACTTGCCCATTAAAATGCCAGTTGAAAAATGCGGCCAAATATTTGTGTTATCATACGAGGAGGAGATGAATTATGGAGCGTTTAATCTTACTGGAGATTGCTAATAAAATATGGATCGTATTCCGTCAACAGATCAAAAGTTACGAGCAGAAATTAGGGAAATTTGCTCACTACCGACGCCTTTCATAACGCATGCGTGATCCAATGGAGACAGTTCCATTTGAAATTTATGGAAAGATACGATAATAAACTTATTAATGCCTGATGAGGCATATTTCTTCTTAGCGGAAGGTAATATCTTCTTGCGTTGGTTCATTCCAAGACATGCGCTATAGAGGAAATATTATTAAATGTCTCTTTTGTAGAGTGCTATTTTTAAAGAAAGCCTCTGGGTGTTAAATAGTACATTTTACAACCTAGTGTGCGTGGCGAGAAAATAACAAGAAAGCCAGTACATTTAATATCGCAGTATCATTTTACATGAAGCACACTCGACAGAATGTCAGCATTATATTTGTAACCCCAGCAAAACATGTAATTCCTGTTATTGATACTTAATTTTTATTTCCGTAGCCATGTTAGATTTTTCGTTTTAGTGAACGAGTACCGAAGTTTATAAACGGAATAAGCACCGCTTGTTTCTGCACACGTCCTATCAAATTGCTAATAGAATATTAATGTCGATTCTACGGATCTTGCCTGCATTAATTCTATCGGTGAACACGGCATATACTCGGTAGTTAAAAGTTTCAACATATTCGCAACCCCTACCTGGAAACTGTAAATGAAAAGCTCGTTGATAACAAACAATAATTGCTCCTTTCAATTTAGAAGTAGGTTTTATCTTTCTGTTTTCCATCATTTACAAAATGTGTCACAATGTAGTCAAGTTCCTAAAACTTCCGAAACGTGCTTTTTACCAAGGCTTTATCAGCATGATTCCTGCTAACGCAATAGCCAAGCCTCTACTAACCATAGAACGTGCTTTCCATCATACCAAGGTAGCAGTGGCTAGTCACAAGTCAAGTTGCTAGTTGCGTTTCTTGGTTAAAATTAATCAGTGTATGAGGAACTAGATTAACTAAAACAACAGCGTTTGTATTTTGTGCGCGAGACATTACCACGCATAATTCACACGCCTATCTGCGTAAGTATAGTAGCATTTAAGCTGCTCAAATGTGGTTTACATCAACCCTTGTAACATATGTTCAATACGAATTTGCAGCCATAAGTTGCCTGACCCAAATTAGGCATTTCGAGACCGGACCTTGTCCCAACTGAATGACTATTGAATCAGCTCACTAGATGTACCATGGAACAGAAACATATCAGAGATTATCCGAACATCTACGCTCATGTAAGAAAAGAGAAAGTCTTAACCATGATGTTATGTAATCGGAACTGCTGTTTATCGAAGTTTGCCAAATGCTGGTTACTTATATGGCATTCCCCTGATAAACGTACAGCGTTTTGACCTTGCATTTAGCATTTTGTTTGTCTAATGCTTGTTCCAAGTATTCGAGTTTGGTCGTACCACAGCTTACGCGTTCGCGAAACCACACTAATAAATACGCAATTGCAGCTCCATTTTCCGTAACATTCCCTATAACGTTCTGGATGATCCGGAGAGAATAATAAAACACCTCAGCAACCTGAACTTGAGTGAAAATTACATAATAAAACGAAAGTTGCATCATAAAGGATTCCGATCGTTTTCTGCTTAATTGTATTTTGATTTATATAAACTGGAATTTAGCAGTTTGCTTGGTTCTTACATCTCCTGATGTTCTTAACTTTTCTGTTGGGAGAACATGCCATTGCTCTTTCAGTAGAGCCATCCACTACTGATCCAGGTGGTTCAACTGTTGGATTCACCGAATTATATTGTAGCAGTGTTACCAGGGTGCCACCCAGGACATCATGAAAAATCAATTTCGATTCAAGTAACAGAAAACGGAGGTAATTTCCACCGAGTTACTGTGAGGCCTCACTGCTGCGTACATCACTGGTAAATAGTAGGTGCATTTAATAGCACATTTTACAATTTGTGCTTGAAGTTATCTGCTTGCAATCCCTTCTGCTTTGATGTGGCAGCAATTGAACTAGTGTGTAAGATTAGTACACCTAATCTATCGTTGCTCTCTCTCTATCCGTTCGAGATGTGAAAATCTGCATAAATTTTAGGTGGCCTCGATGAAAAATTATTTCAAATTTTATCTTTTCCTTATCTTTTAATGCACTGCAAGTTCCAATTTATAAAGATATTTTGTAGTATTCAATGTATTGGTGCAGGTTAGGCTATCTAAACTTATCTTCTGGATGAAGAAACAGAACCATTTACTGGAGAAACTAACAGAGATTCTGAATCTCATCCGTTACCTGAAGCTTTTGCGGAGTTAACACGTTCCGGATGCCGTGACACGCTCTGAGTATCCCCACAATTCTACCGACATGAGTGCTGTCTCCATCACATCTGGTCACTTTGTGTGCATGTTTACGGTGTAGGCTTTTATCACACAGATGGCGCTGATGGGTATTTCCCTAAACGAGGTGGTAACTGCAGCGCAAACTGTTAGAAATTTCAATACTGTTGCTGCTTAATTACCTGATGCTAACAATAGAGCATTTTGCTAAGAACAGAGATTTATTCAAGTTCATCGAATGATGGTTTCGTTAACAAAAGAAGGTTTCTTGGCAGCAATGCAACTCACGCAAACAAATTACGTCGCTACCCGACCACTGGCCATTCGCCTGACAAGTTCGAAGACAACCTGTAAAACAGTGAGATGAGGCAAAATCACATGAGGATTCCGTTGAGTTGCTTTTAATAAACATATGTTGATTTTGTTAAATTTTGACAATCTGCACCTTGTGACATCTGATTCCTAAGTCCGGTAGTGGACAACAATCATGCAATACAGATCATAAATCACATTTGTTTTCCTGGACAAGAAGTGCAACTAACTGCATTTTGTTCGTCACTTAAATTATTGTTCCCATTATCCATATGCATCTTAGCAAACAAATTGAAAATTCGCCAACTAAGTACATTCAAACATTCTAAAAGCGGCTAGCAAATACTGTGCGGAAATGAATACGCATACAAAATAAAGTTTTAACCCTTGGTAAGTTTGGTTGCTACACTCACCTGCATTCGATTCTTTTGGTAGTCCTGTGTCCGCACACTGTGCCATAAATCCCTCCACACACGCGGACAACGCCTCCGCTTTGTATTGCAGATCCGTTTTGTAGACAACATAACCGTGTGGTGGATCCCGGAGTGGAGCACATGATACACCTGTTCGATGGCAACAGGCTCTGCATGAAATGAATTGCTAAGTCATTTATGAAAGTTTGGCATCTTTATAAATATTTAACCAATGGTTACCCTTGGGAAGTTTGTTGCTATAAACTGACTGCTTGTTGACTGAG